ATGTGTAATATAGGGGTCTGAAGGGTGAAATATCTATGTGTAACCAAGCACAGTGTATCTAAAGTAAAGCTTAGAGTAAACGTGTTATATGTTTATATTACAGTGCTATAACTTGCAGCAATGTTAGCTAGAATTACTAAAATATTAATCATACCAAAAGCACAGTCTTATTGAACCTGATTATTAAGCTACAGTTATTTTACCAAAAAATGTGCAGATTAACCCATTGTTATGCATGAAAATACGCTCGAGGAATGCTTTTGGGTCACCAAGAGCTTGTATGCCTTTATCACACTGCACAATAAAAATAAAGAATTTAAAAAAAAAAAAGCAGTAGAACTTCAAATATGTATGAGCATGGGTGTGGGAATCAACTACAGGGTCCACGTGGTATTTGGAGTGGGGAGGAAAGGGGAAAGGATGCCAAGGTCACCTCAGAATATCCATAACAGTAATAACAAATAAAACAAAAGGATGATAAGCCACAATATTTAAAAAACAAAAAACTATGTGAAAGAGGCAGGAGCGTTAAATGATTCTGAGGGTTCCAGAATCAATTATATAGGATTGGGAGACTCCTTTCTTGTAATATCCAAGACAAATGTTTTGAGAAACTGGTAAAAGTAAAAAAAAAAAAAATACAATAATTATATACTAAACAGACACAATAATTATATATTAAACAGACACAATGTAGGACACAGCGGAGGCACAACAAAACGAGAAAAAACAGTGTCATATAAAATTAAGAAAAATAACCACTATATTAAGACAAGATAATGAATGAACGTGATGATCTTTCTCAACCTTGTAAGCATTCACCCACTTACCTTATCTGACCACCGCTCCCACGCCGGGAAAGGAGGTGGCGCATGCGTATCGGTATCATGAGGTTGGAAGAGCTCTAAACAAGAGAGCTCAACGCACACGTACCTTTTGGGGGTGTGGTTATGATAACCACGCCCCCAATCATATGAAAGCCCAGTCCGCCCCCAAATCAGTGACCTTTTGTGGTTCTTAGTGTGCCTTGTGTCCCTAGTGTCCCCTCAGCGAGTTTCTGTATCATTTTGATAGTTCTTTGGTTTTGACACGGCTTTTTCTTGACTATTCTTATTTCTGGTTTCCTTGACTCGGCTATGTTCCTCGCTTTCTGTATTTCTGGCTTCCCTTGACCTTGGCTTGTTTCTGGCATTTCTTGTAGTATCTATTTTATCCAGCCATGACCGGTTTAGGGACTTTCTATCTGTCTCTGTTGTTCTGGTGGTTTTCACTCTGCGTATTGGGTATTAACGTTACAAACCTGCAGTAGCAAGATTGGACATTAAAAGTGAGGAAAAAATAGTAGTTTTTAAGTTTATAAATATATGTAATATATATATAAATATATTGTTAAAATATTTATAAATAAACAGATTATGAAGAAAGAGATGTGCTCCCCTACCAAATAACAAGGACATCCAGGTGAAACTTCAGAGCCCATTCCTACCCTCCAGTAGAGGGGCACATATTCATTAAAAGTCACAGCCAGATTCATGAAATTAAAATAAATAAATAAAAAAGTCCCATACCCAGATCAACCAGTAATCATGGAGAGTTCATCAGAACTGCAGTAAAAGCGTCATGAGGCAAGATGAAGATGTTAAAGTCTAATTCTCTCCAGGATAAATATGCATAGTTTATTACTGCAGCATTATAATGAGAAGGCAGAGATATAACCGTCTTCAGATGA